CTTGAAACCCTAAACCCTAAACCCTTGCAGCCCAATGCCTCAAGCAAGACACCAGTCCGGCTAACAGCCCGAAAGCTCCAGGCCCCCAAGCCCCTGAAGCCCCCAAAACGCCTCCCTAACCCTCGGTTGGCCCTTGGTCATTCTTTCCACAAAATGTGTTACAAAGCGAGATCCTCGTAAACCCGAAATGGGAAAGGTTTCAAGTGCAACATGAACTGTGTTCAGAAATATGGTAAGAAAAGATAAAGACATATAGTCGAACATAATACGCTCTAACGTGACATGGCTGAATGCTGAGGAGGGACGGGTAACCCCCTGAAAAAAGAAGCCGAGGTTCCCAATTCCCTCCTTCCCGCCCTAAACCGCAATAAGCCGAATGAGCCCGAAGCTCCTAAACCTTAAACCCTAAGCGTAAAGTTCCAAAACCCTAAGCCCTATAACCCCTAAGTTCCTAAACCTTAAGCCCTAAACCCTAAACCCCAAACCGTAAACCTGGAGGTCAATGGCCTGCAGCGCGCCCCACGTCGGCACAAACGGAGGACCGACGCAGTTCAGCCATTGCGAGGCGCCTCCGATCAACCAGCGCTTAGGGTTTAGGAACTTTGAGGGTTAAAAATCGGGTGTAGGGTTCACGGGTCTGGTCTCTACGGAAGGGGATTTCGCAACTTAGGGGAGTTGAGGGTTTCTGATTTACGGGGCTCCGGGTTCATAGTCGCAGGAGCTTTTGCAAGCTACATTGCAAGCTGTACGACAAGCGAGGCAGGACAACGAGCTTAGATGGAGAGGGCTTCACTCGTGTGCCTGCGACGAAACCCCATACCCAGAGGCAGCTTCGTGGTCTTTACAATGGATGCAATGATGCACAACGATGAGCTGTTCAGAGTTGTAGACTGCTCGACACTTCCGGGTAGCGCTTATAAGGCTTTAGGGTCCTAGGGTTTTGGAGTAATGTGCGGCAACCTTGGGAGTACCTTAAGCAAGTGGGATTGAGCCTTGGATGGGCGAATCGCAGGTGAGACTATCACAAAGTCTACGCCCGCGTGAATGAGAAATCTGCACACAACGTCAACCCCAAAGCCTTGCGGAAGAGAAGAGACGACGACAGAACAAGTGCGGAAAGAAAGGACGACACTACAGCACAAGTCCCTTCACAACCTTCAGCCCCAGGTTGAAAACCCTGAACTCAAGATTCCTACACCCTATAAGCGTTAAACCTAAACCCTAAAATCCCGCATCCCTACCCTAGACCCTGAACCCTTAAGCCATGACTTTTCCACAGCCATCCACTGCAACAGAGTATGGCCTTGGCCGCCAGCCAACGGCAACGAAAGCAGCCACAGGGGCCACCAGGGCAGCATCGCTTTGGAACTTTCAGGGTTTAGGGCTTTCGGGGTTTAGGGTTTAGGGTGGGAAGCTTTGGGGCTTGAGCGCACGGGTGGTAAAGTGTGATGTACGGCTGGCAATTGCCGGTCCCATACCCCCTTGAAGAGCCTTGGAGTCACTAGCATGAAGACCTCTTGCAAGCTGGTTTGGGCTAGCGCCATGAGTCATGAGTTCCTGAAAGCATCAAACATTGCAGGCAGCCCATGCATGGTGCAGCACAACTGTTGATGGACGAAATCCTGCATCACTTTTATTATGCAGGTCGTCCCTTCCAAACCCTGAATCTTAACATTGCTGTCCTTGCAATGCTTCGAAGTTGCATGTGTGTGAATGACCGAAATCCTGCATCACCCATATGCGCACGCAACATTGAAATTCGAGGGGCGCGGGGAGCTCGATTACCAACCGTCGCACACGTGTAACATAGGGGGTCATGCAAGATTTTGTCCATCAACAGTCTCGGACAAGATAGTTTACTGACTTGTTGGCAAGAGTTGTTGCTGGAATGGCTTTTGGGAAGAATGTCGGAGATGTACCTTTGGCAGATTCAAGCCTAAGCTCTCCTCTTGCTCGGGTGTGGCCAAGCGCCAAAGAGCAGAAATGCCGCGTTTTTCAAGTTTCAAATTCGTTTCCGTAGTTTCAAATTAGTTTCAAAAATAGTTTCAAAATCCAGTTGCAAAATCGCTGTTAAGGGGAAACTGCATTTTTCTATGCGCAATTCAAAAAAAATGAAGAAATCTCAGAGGTTCCTGGTTTTCAAAAAGCGCGGACAGAAATTGTAGTTCCCCCTTAACAGCGATTTTGCAACTGGATTTTGAAACTAATTTGAAACTGATTGGAAACTAATTTGAAACTATGGAAACAATTTGAAACTTGAAAAATACCATATTTCGGACTTTCTGCCCCCCATCCTGGCCCCTCACACACGGCCCTCAGCTGACTGTGGTCAGCCGTGACTATAGAGACCAGAGTTTCCGAAAACTTGCCAGTCTCCAGACTGTTGATGGACGAAATCCTGCATCACTTTTATTATGCAGGTCGTCCCTTCCAAACCCTGAATCTTAACATTGCTGTCCTTGCAATGCTTCGAAGTTGCATGTGTGTGAATGACCGAAATCCTGCATCACCCATATGCGCACGCAACATTGAAATTCGAGGGGCGCGGGGAGCTCGATTACCAACCGTCGCACACGTGTAACATAGGGGGTCATGCAAGATTTTGTCCATCAACAGAAGTATGTCGAGGCTCCTGGAGGAGCAACGTCCCTAGCTGCTACAGAGTGCCATGGAGCAGTCTGATGTCTACTGCTACCTATTCGAAGTACTTACAACCGTACTTATAACACACGAACATTCAGTCAAGGAGAAGAGCCCTTAAACCACAGCGCGCGACGACTTTTCCCCCAACCACCCAGTCACAGGTTCAAGGTCCGCTCGTCTTCTTCCTGCTCCTGGCGGCTGAGGATCTTCCCAACAACTCTGAACCTTGTTGGCTTTTGGGTTTTTGAACAGGGCTTAGAGGTTTGAGACAGACTTCGTAGGACTTCTGTAAATGCACTGCCGTTCCCAGGGGTTGGAAGGGTGGCCATTGAGTTCAGGGAGCACATGGCGATTGAGGATGTTGATCATAGCAGCTGGCAGATCCTTCTGCAAAGCTTTATATGCTCAACCAAAAAATGCCTGCAAGGGATTCTGGAGGACGATGCCAGCAATGAGGTCTTCCTGCAAGAGAGCACAAAGTGCACGCGGCTAAGAGCAAGGCCATTCTCAGACTATTCCTGACGCACCTGTTGAAAACGAACGCCGCAATTCAGGCAATAAGCCCTGAACCCTAAACCGAAACCTGGCAGAATTCGATTCATTAGGACGGGAATCGGGTGCCTCCTGTGAACTGGAGACAATGAACGGCGGGCGTTGCAAGAGTTGACAGGCTGAAGAACTGCTGAGGTGCAAATGTATTGGCGACGTCCTTCGGGCCTTGGGGTTGCAAGGAGCTGCTTGTTGAACACCACTGGGTGGCTCAATGGAGTTGAGGCCATTTGCAAGTCAATGCTCTATATATATATATATATACATGGTATGCGCGAGGCTGCGACATATGGCCCTCCAACCCCAAACCAAAGAAACCTAGCCCTCAACCCCACCATGTGGTGTTCCCGCCGCCTCCCCGTCCACCAGCTGCTCATCGAGCCGGCAGAACTCTGGCCTTTGGTTGAAGAAGTTTGGATCTCTGTGTTCGGGGCTTTGGGGCTTGCAAGGTTTTGTGCTTTGAGGGATTTAAGGGTTCAAGCTTGTGGTTGAAAGTGGAGCTCCAGAGTCTTGACTGCTTAAAACCATGTCAGAGCCAATGAAGGACAAGATGTGCACCCAAGAAGTCCCTAAAACTGACTCTGCAGACTACAGAGGCAGGCGGTCGTTTGCTGGAGCCCACACTGACCCCGCGCCCTGCATACACCCTAAGTGCTGAAGATGCACAACCAAACTGGAGGCCACGAGCTGGGTCAACCCTGATGTTGTGAAAAAATGCGTACAAAAATAGAAGCCCTGGACGCCTAATCATCCTAAATACACGAGCTTGGACCCTAAGCCTTCAAAAGGCCCATTTAAACCACGACCCGAAGTTCCACCCCTGGGGACAACCAAGGCCCTGACAAGCCTTTGGCAGCGTTGCCGTTGAATTCGGTCTTGCTGGGGCCCTGGGCCGTGAAAACTCCAGCGAATATTGGGGGTGCAGAGTCTGAAACCGAAATGGCATATATACATTCATATACATGTACAGAAATAAATAAATAAATATATATATATATATATATACATGTACACACATACATACATACATACATACATACATACATACATACATACATGCATACATGCATGCATACATACATACATACATACATGTATGATTGTGCACCTGGTCATTACAGCGTCGTGCTATCTGTTTAGCGGCGCAAGCAGATTCGTGGCTCTTTATTAAGTACTACGTGGTTTGGGGTGGGGGGGGGGGACCGAGGTCCCAGCCCGTCTTGCGGAGCCGACGAACAGGGTGATGTTCAGCGTGTAGTCGCCGGTAGGACACCTTTCGCAAATTGTCAGACGGGGCCTCTTGTACTTGTAGCGGTGGGATTGCGAGAAATTCATACACTTCTGCCACCCTATGTCTGCGATTGGTCGCTAGTACCTCAGCATAAGACAAGCCTGAACCTGCAGGATGAGCTCCAACTATTCAAGACGTCACTGACAATTACGTGCCCTCATCCAGCCTCACGTAGAAACCGCAGTACCCTTCTTTGCCCCCCTCCAAGCCGTTTGGATAGAACCTGGCACGAGGTGTCGTTGGGTCGACCCGAAACCCTCTAACCTCGAATGCACTAAGCCCACAACTATGCTCTGAGATGCAGGGTTCTGTGGATCCCCGAGCCTTCAGCGTTGGGTGTTAATCTGAACCGTCTGAAAGAGGAGGAGCAATCTAAAGGAACCTTAGGGAGAGAGGAAGGAGGGAGGGAGAGGGAGAGAGAGAGGCAAGGAGAACAACCGTCGCGCAGGTCTGTGAAAACGTTTTGCGCTGTCCTCCCCAATCTCCGATGGCCTTTCCAGTCTCTAATTACGCAACTTCAAGCCACAAGTGCCACAGGAGTAACCTCAGAAATTGCGAACCACTGCAGCAGGGCCGACACCACGAACGTCCGCTTGTCTTTGGCGAAGAAGGGCACCAGCACCAGCCGCACCCCATTCTCTCTGCAGAGTCTTTCCTTCCGAGAGTCCCTCTCCTGCTGGGCGCGGAAGCTGGAAGGATCTCCGAAGTGGAAGTAGTTGTTGGGATCGTAGTGCTGCTGCCCCTGGTACTCAAAGGCCAGGCGCAGCTCTGGGCAGTACCCATCCAACTGCAAGCCCTCCAGAAAAGATGGATAAGAGGAAACGAACTGGAACGGATGGAATATGAACTCTAGGATGCTGCGGATCTCCGACTCCGTCCGCCAGTAGCTGACTGCACACTGTGGGCACCAGGTCTTCTGGTGAAGCACATTGGTCGCCCTGGCCTTCCATTGGTGCCCTTCTCGGCATTCCCACAATACTTTATTATGCGAACTGCTGTACGACTTGGCAAGGCACTGTCCACCGAACGAAGCCGCATGGGTCTGGAGACGTGAAGGACATATCTTTTGGCAGTGCGGACACCAGTTGTTTCGGTTCAGAACGTTACGCGGCATACTCTGCCATGTGTGGCCAAACCTGCACTTCCACGTAACTTTGGTCCAGTTGTTTGCATACTCCGTAGCGAGGCACACTCCACCTTTCTTTGCCGCATGCTTTCGCAAACGTTCCAAGCCTATTGGCACCACGCCAGCACAAACAGGGCACCAAGAGTGACTGTTCAGGACGCTATTGGGTGTCGCATGCCAGCTGTGGCCATGCTGGCACTGCCAGGGCACCCTTGTCATCATGCCGGTGTATTCAGGAGCCAAGCACTGACCGCCACAAGAAGCTGCGTGTGTCCGCAAGTCTTGGAGGCTGAGCTTCCTGCGTTTTCGGCTACTCTGGGAACATTCAGGGCACCAGCTATTGCGGTACAGAACCTGTTTGGCTGTGGATTCCCACACGTGTCCCTTCTCGCACTGCCAGCGGACCCAGGAACGAGAGTTCTTGCATTCGGTGGACAGGCACTTACCACTTCGAGCTTGGGCGTGGTCTTGCAGCCGCTTCAACGTGATGCTGCACCGATCTGCTGCACAGCGCGGACACCATGACTTGGCGTGAAGCACGCTGCCGGGAGAAGCTTGCCAAACATGGCCATGTTCGCACTGCCAGGTGAGCTTAACCAGAAGGTTGACGTAGTTCTCCGACAAGCAATGCCCGTTCTTGGTTGCGGCAAAGTCTTTCAGTCGCAAGAGAGCAGCTGCCTTTTGCTCGGGCGTTCTAGTGGAGAACCGTTTTGCAGCCTCCTCCGGTCTGCAGCTTGGGGTCTTGCAGGTGCTGCAAGCGCACGCTATCTGCACCCGTTGGAAGCACCGCAAGCCTGGTAATCCATGTGGCAAGGGTCCATTGTGCGAGAGTCTGTCACCAACAGTCCGTGCCACCCTGAATGATGCCAGCATCTCTCGCGAACGGAGCCCGGTGGCCAGTGCAGTCAGAATTCCATCTTAGATTAATTTTGTCTTCAAGGTCTACCACTCAGGAGTCAACTCTTTGGACTGAATCACATAGAGTTTGGGTCACCAGCCATTCCTTTGCTGGAACTCTTGCCTCTAGAAGTTTCACGGAGCCCGGAAAACCCTGTTGCATCCCCAACCCATGTCGGGTAGGCTCCAGGTGCATGTCCCGCGCCCCGGCAGCGGAGAAGAGTGGGCTGCACATGCAGGCGCCCATCGGCAACTGGCGTGAGCGAACGGACTTGAAGTCGAGGTGCAGAGTTGGATTGGGGAAATAGCATTCGATCAGCTCTACATTTGAAGGAACAGTGACTGGAGACGTCTTTCAACTGCGAAGCATGCCGCTGGAGATGTGAAGACTGGAAATTCCCGCAGTTGCCGTGTCAAAAAACGGCTCCCACGTTTGAAACTAACGACACCTCCGAAGCTGCACGATGGTGCCCTAAAGCACTCAACCACCAGTCTTATCATGTCTCTACACGCCAAACGGAAAGCTCGTTTCAGCCTAGAGGCTCTGCGCCTGGCTGCCCTGGCTAGAACCCATTTTCTGCATGCCACCTTAAATTGACGATATCCCTGTAGGAACTCAACCACATGATGCCTCAAAAAGAAGTGTTTGTATGAGATCAGCTATTTTTTTTCTAGCACATGCTTCACCAGACTTGAAAGAGCCCTTTGTATATCTGTGCGGGTGACAAGCTGTGACATGCTTCCACACGCTCCACCTCCTGGATGCGCCGTCGGATGTTCCGAATCTTCCACTCGACCTTGGCAGGTTCGGGGCATTTGTTGGGAAGCTTTGGGGCTCATATAGTCTCCCTACTATGAGTGAGGCCGATTATGGGGTGAAGGATCAAAAAAAAAATAAATAAGCATCAAAAAAAAAAATAACCCCAAGGGATCAAAAAAAAAATAAATAAGCATCAAAAAAAAAATAACACATTTTCCTCTTGGAAACATCGGGGGGGGGGGGGGGGGGGTTGGGGGGGGGGGTGGGGGGGGGGGGTTTGGGGGGGGGGGTTGGGGGGCGGGGGTTGGGGGGGGGGGCTTGGGGGGGGGGGGGGGTTTGGTCCCCCCCCCCCCATTTGCAAACACAATGCTCGCACGATGGGTAGTAGTGGGTGGTGGTAGTGGTAGGTAAACCTCATATTCCCACAAGAAAACCTCTATTTTCTTCACGTTTTCATAGGAAACCTCTATCATCTCTATGTTTCCATCGGAAAACCTCTATTGGCATGTATTTTAAGAAAAACTTAAACTTTTTAGTATCCCAATGGCTTCAACAAGATTCATAAAGCACGCTTTGCAGTGGCACAGCTTGATAAAAACGCGGCGGGGTTGGGGTTGGCGCAGCCCCCCCCGCCCCCACACCCCCCCACTTGGCTTTGCAGCACGCTTTGCACAGCTTAAAAAACACAGCGGGGGGGTTGGGGGGGGCGCAGCCCCCCCCATTTGCAAACAATGTTCCCACGATGCGTAGAAGTGGTGGTAGTGGTTGGAAAACCTTCTAGTTTCTCGATCTTTCAATGGGAAAAGCTCTATTTCTTCATACTCCCACAAGAGAGCGTCTACTGTCTTCACGTTTTCATGAGAAATCCTCTATTATCTCTATTTTTCCATCGGAAAAACTCTACTTCTACATCTTTTGAGCAAAAAACTTCCATTTTCTTTGCATTCCAATGGCTTCAAAGAACAATATATAATACATACTACATAATATATAAAATATACTATTCTAATAAAAAATAAATTAATTAATAATAAATAATATTATATATTTTATATATTGTATATTATGTATACAGTATATATTATATATTATATACTTTCTATTCTGCATTATATGCAGTATATAATATGCAAGATACAATATATGATATGCAATATATGACATATAATATACAATATGCGATATATAAGTATATATATATATATATATTTTTTTATTTATTTATTCATACTTGATATTATTATTTGTATACATCAGCATATCATATAATGTATCGACAGTTTGAAAATATAAAATAAAATATAAAATGATATATATATATATATAATATATTATAATATAAAGTGTATATATATATATCATATATATAGATGTTATACACATGATATAATGTTAATATAAAATATAAATATTATATATAGTATAAGACAGATATACTATAATGTATCAATAATATATAATATATAGATATATAATTATTAAATATATAATATGTAATATATAATAGTTAATAAGGGGCTGTAAAAAATATATAAAATTATATATAACTATAATTATAATATATGAATATATAATATATGAATATAATAATATATAATATATAAATATATAATATATAATATAGAATATATAATTATATAGCTGTATAAACTACAAAAAAGCGATAGTACATACGACATAATAAATATATGATACATAATACATAATACATAACACATAATACATAATACAGAATACATAATATAAAACATATAATATATAAATTCATACATAGTACATAAGACATAAAACATAATATAGAATTCATAATACATAATTAATACATAATACATAATACATAATACAGAATAGGTAGTACATAATACATAATACATAATACGTAATACATAATACATAATACATAATATATAATATATAATATACAATATATAATATATAATGTATAATGTATAATGTATAGTATATAATAGGTAATGTGTAATGTAATGTGTATTATGTAATATGTATATATATATATATATTCACATACATACATACATATATATATATACACACACGTTGACCTTCACTATCGTGTGTATATAAAACATATATTTATATTTATTGATTTTTACTTATTTGTCTAATTTAGTTATTTATTTATACGCATAGGACCCGCAGGACCAGGCGGACAGACAAGCAGGCCAGAGGACCAGAGGACCAGGGGACCACAAGACCAGGGGACCACGGGACCAGAGGACCACGGGACCAGAGGACCACGGGACCAGAGGACCACGGGACCAGAGGACCACGGGACCAGAGGACCACGGGACCAGAGGACCACGGGACCCGAGGACCACGCAGGTGGGCCGGATGGCTTATTTTTTTTTTGATGCCTATTATTTTTTTTATTGATCCCTATTATTTTTCTTTTTGATGCTTATTATTTTTTTTTTGATGCCTATGCCCGATTATGGCCTGTATAGATGTAAGAGGGGTATAGGCGAGTATAGGGAGTAGACAGTCGCTTGCGTGCCAGGAGGCGGAATCTCTGTCACGATGCTGGAGCACTTCGGCCTTGATGACAACCATAGCAAGGGACAGGTGGCACTGGAGGGGTCTATTTCATGAGAATGGGTTTAGGGTTTATAGAGTTTAGGGTTTAGGGTTTAATTCGGGTTTAGGGTTTAGACGGGGGATGCTTCTGCAAGGCCGGATTTCTCAGGATAGCTATTTGCCCAGGACTGCGTCAGGAGCCCCATCCGTGCCGCGAGCCTCACGCTTCACGGCATCCACAGGGCCTTTGTTGACGAGCCTCCGCTTCATCAGAGCTTCCTACAGAACTGCAAAGCACAGTCTTATGAGTGCGTGTGGCAGCTGGCGTCCTGCTTATCGTGCAAAAAGTACTTGCAGCGGGCCCTAATAAGAACAAAACACATAAGAAGTGTAGGACACCACGCTCGAAATTGACAACGGGATCAGCACTTGAGCGGAAAGTTGTCGATAAAACCAAAAACATACAAGTGGCTGCACGGACTTTACACTTAGAGTTCTTGGTAGCAGCATTGAAGGTACGTGGCACACAGCTCTGCTCCTCCGGATGCTCGACGACCCGATGACTCATGGCACTTGAACTCTCTAATGACTTCCTTTACCTAGTTGCTGAGTGTGCTGGGCCAAAAAAGGATAAACCTTAATTTGTGGTAGGATTATATATATATACCTCAAAAGGTTAAAGGTTACTTACTCAGCTACTAAGTTTGAAAGGAAAAAATGCTGCCCTGGCCTCAGCCCTTGTCCAAGGTCCTGTGTCAATGTCACCTGCGCGTGAACCAATCGACTCCAGGTTCAGCTATGCCTATAGGCTAATGTCGGCTGGCCCCAAGTCACAACGGATCCCTGTGCCAGGATATGGCAGCATCTGTGAGATTCTGTGAGTGGTCGTGACATGCAAAGGCAACATGTCGTTCTGCTTCGGCTACAGCACTTTCCAGTGTCACCTTCTTGCCAAAACACCTCGTTGGCAGCACTCTCTGGCACCGACCGTTGTAGGTGCGTCTCTGGCATTTTGCACTCATCAACATAGAACGCATCGACATGATGCGTGTGCTTCAGTGACCGTTCTCTGAAGAGCAGTGGGTAAGGGTGGGGACTCCAGCTGTTGAGACGCCTAAGCCCCTAACCCTAAGCCCCGATCCCTAAACCCACACTCCCGCTCCATAGAGCTTCCGGGCTCTGCGAGTCTTCAGGGTTTCGCATTGTGGCTTTGGGCCTCGGCTCTTGGGGTCTTAAGCGGAATCAACAAACCTTAGGGTGCAGGATTTAGGCATGGAGCAGAACTATGGGCAACCCTAACATCTCCACTGACAGAATACAATCTTGGACTCTATCCAGCCTCCAGAATTTCGAGGCCTGGCATGATGATGGATCTGGGGAGGTGATTTGGGCGATTTCTGCATGGGTCCAGAGGAGAGGTGTTGCTTGCTCTTCAGCCTCGACACCGAAGGCGCACCAGCATCAAGACCGTCGACTAGCTTGAAGCAAGAATCGGCCAACATCATAAGACAACGACTTCCCATTGCAGAAACTTCTGAACTGAATCTGAACTTGGCAGACTTGGCATACTCCTCTCAGATCGTGCCGGCTGCACCAATGACCAGGCAATCCTTTGCATCGATCTGGGCCTGTTTCAGGTGAGCATCAAGACTGACTGCATATCTCGAGGTCCTCCACCCTCGGCCCTAAAGTGCGTGTTCAACTGCCTCTTCAGCACTCTCGGCTAAGAAATCTTGACTGAATACGACAATGTCTCCAGACGTTCATCTCGATGCAGCCCTATTCTTGCTTTATAAGAGAGGCTTTGGTTCGGGGATCGTGCTTCACATGCCCACGTCCATCGTCCAATACTCATTCACTTGTAAACAAGTAGGAATTTTGCAGACCGAAGTGCTACACCCCGATTGTGGGTGGTGGCAGGGTAACAAGCAGGGCAAATTGAGCAAGATGGCAAGCAACAGCACGGCGCACCGGGAAATCAAGGCTTGTGCACGAGGTCCCAGCCCCTTCCCTGAAATTCAACACCTTGAAATAGCCTCTAACACGAACACCGAACTCCTATTTTGTATAATTAGTTCACAACAAATGTCGAATTTGTAGGGGGATAATTCGTTTCGGTTTCAAGGTTTTGTTTCATAGCTCCCACAGCACCCGGCAGCCCGACCCGCAAACACCAGCTCCCTGCATCTCATTTTCCAGCTGTGGCGCCCATCAGCTCAAAGGGACCAGTGGCTCGGGTCAGGCATTCTACTTCTATGGACTGGAGCTCAGTGCGTGGAAATGAACGGCTTTGGGTTTAGGGCCATTCGGATACACGGCTCCGCTACTTCATTACACAGCTTCATGCTTCATGGTCCCCCTTTGGCGAGAATTTCAGGTCTCCTCTCTGCTGTTTACATGCCTTCACCGAGAAACCCGCTCCCGTGAGCTGGATGTGGCAGTGTTACATACTTTGGGTATTGCCTCAAGAAGCCCTTCCGTCCGTCGGCCCGGGCCTAATACATGACAACTCGACCTTTACAACCACATGTACACAGAAGGACCGGTTGTAGCAGCAATCAGGCATTAGTCATGGGTTGCTGTGCTATTCACAGACATCGGCCAACAGCCTGCCAAGAAGAGCGGACACTGCTCGTCTCGCTTGCACGCTGCGAAAATGGCCCTCGATGCAAGCTTCCGCAGGCACGCCTACAGTAATCCTCCAGGATACGGCGGAACCACGCGGAACCACAGAACACTGAGCGCAAACACCTTGCGATGCCCTCGTTCGACCTTGTGTCTTCTGTGAGCTACTGAGCCTGTCCTACGGATGAAGCTCCTCTTTAAGTATGTGGCAGAAGTGCCGGCGGCGAATCGATGCACGGCGTCGTGCGGGCTCGTGCCCCGGGGCAGCACCCACAGAGTCCATTAAGCACTAGGCGTCCCTTAAGCCCAGCCTGTCAGATATGGGGTACTCAGCTCCACGAACCGGACTTCAGTGAGATCTCTACCCATCCTTCAGTTTCATGATCTCCTCAAGGTCGATGGTGGAGCACTCCGACCTTGTCTAGCTTACCCCTCTAAACCCGATGTTGTCGAGTTCAAACTTGAGGCCTAATTGCTGCATTCCATTCCGTAGTGCCTGGCCAACAAGCGGTGTAAACCTTCTTTGAGTCACAATCGCTATGACATAACTAATTAGTTGGCTCTCAGACTGGTGGAAATCCTCTCATGGAATTCACTGTCACTAAGTCTTACCAAAGCCTCAACCCTAAACCACGAAAACCCAAGCCCCGCGCGCAAAGGGATTGTTGTCCTTGAGGAAGAGCATGCAATGACACTCGTGCCTCTCGCGCATGGGAACCTCAGCGCTCCGACATGGGAGGCGCGCTTGAAGGGCGCAAGGCTGTGAGCTGCTGTTTGCGTACAAAGAAAATCTATATATACGTATATATCCGCCGACCCGAGCTTTGAGCGGGGGAGGCGCTAGTGAAGACCCATAGTCTTGCCGCTCTCTCCGCCACTCCGCCCGCTCCGCCCGTTCCATCGCGCCCGCTCCGCCCGTTCCATCGCATGGCCCCCATGCCTCCATGCCCTCGACCCCGGCTCCAGCTCATGGCCCCAGGATCCCACATGGCTGCCACCACCCACACCTCATGGATGTTTTGGCATTCTTTTAGGGGCTCCAGCTCATGGCCCCATGTCTCACATAAGGGCTCCAGTGCATGCCCGAGCCCTCCCTTCGCTGCCCCCGCCCCCCCCGCCCCCCCCGCCCCCTCCGCTCCCCCCGCCCTTCCCACCCGCTGCCTTGCTGTCAGACTGGCGTGTTTTAAGGGTTCCAGTGCATGCCCCACTCCCACCCACCCCCGCTGCCTTGCTGTTGGAATGGAGTGTTTTTCTGGGCTCCAGTGCATGCCCGAGCCCTCCCTTCGCTGCCCCCGCCCCCCCCGCTCCCCCCACTCCCCCCGCCCTTCCCACACCCCGCCGCCCCCTCCAGCGGACTGGCGGTGTTTTTAAAAGTTGCCCTCCAGCTCATGCCCCACTCCTGCCCACCCTTTCCGCTGCCTTGCTGTTAGAATGGAGTGTTTTTAAGGGCTCCAGTGCATGCCCGAGCCCTCCCTTCGCTGCCACCGCCCCCCCCGCCCTTCCCGCCCCCGCCCTTCCCACCCGCTGCCTTGCTGTCAGACTGGCGTGTTTTAAGGGCTCCAGTGCATGCCCCACTCCCGCCCACCCCTGCCGCTGCCTTGCATGCTCCACTCCCGCCCACCCCTCCCGCTGCCTTGCTGTTAGAATGGAGTGTTTTTAAGGGCTCCAGTGCATGCCCGAGCCCTCCCTTCGCTGCCCCCGCCCCGCCCGCCCCCCCCGCTCCCCCCGCCCTTCCCACCCCCGCCGACCCCCTCCGCTGGACTGGCGTGTTTTAAGGGCTCCCTCCTGCCCACCCCTCCCGCTGCCTTGCTGGTAGAATGGAGTGTGTTTCAGGGCTCCAGTGCATGCCCGAGCCCTCCCTTCGCTGCCCCCGCCCCCCCCGGCCCCCCGCCCCCCCCGCCCGCACCCCCGCCCCCCCCCCCCTTCCCTGTTTAGAATGGAGTGTTTTTAAAGGGCCTCCAGCGCATCCACCCCTCCCGCTGCCTTGCATGCCCCACTCCCGCCCACCCCTCCCGCTGCCTTGCTGTTAGAATGGAGTGTTTTGAAGGGCTCCAGTGCGTGCCCGAGCCCCCCGCCCCCTCCGCTCCCCCCGCCCTTCCCACCCGCTGCCTTGCTGTCAGACTGGCGTGTTTTAAGGGTTCCAGTGCATGCCCCACTCCCACCCACCCCTCCCGCCTTGCTGTTAGAATGGAGTGTTTTTAAGGGCTCCAGTGCATGCCCGAGCCCTCCCTTCTCTGCCCCCGCCCCCCCACCCCCCCCGCTCCCCCCCTCCCCCCGCCCGTCCCACCCCCGCCGAACCACCCTCCGATGACTGGCGTGTTTTTAAGAGGTCCAGTGGCTCCGCACCTCCCACCCTCTTGCCTTGCTGTGCTGCCCCCCACCCCCCCCGCCCCCTCCGCTCCCCCCGCCCTTCCCACCCCTGCCTTGCTGTCGAACTGGCTTGTTTTAAAGGTTCCAGTGCATGCCCCACTCCTGCCCACCCCTCCCGCTGCCTTGCTGTTAGAATGGAGTGTTTTAAGGGCTCCAGTGCATGCCCGAGCCCTCCCTTCGCTGCCCCCGCCCCCCCCGCCCCCCCCGCTCCCCCCACTCCCCCCGCCCTTCCCACCCCCGCCGACCCCCTCCGCTGGACTGGCGTGTTTTAAGGGCTCCAGTGCATGTCCCACTCCTGCCCGACCACTTTCGCTGCCTTGCTGTTAGAATGGAGTGTTTGTAAGGGCTCCAGTGCATGCCCGAGCCCTCCCTTCGCTGCCACCGCCCCGCCCCCCGCTTCCCGCCCCCGCTCTTCCCATCCGCTGCCTTGCTGTCAGACTGGCGTGTTTTAAGGGCTCCAGCGCATGCCCCACTCCCGCCCACCCCTCCCCCGCCCACCCCTCCCGCTGCCTTGCTGTTGGAATGGAGTGTTTTTAAGGGTTGAGTGCATGCCCGAGCCCTCCCTTTCGCTGCCCCCCCCCCCCCCGCCCCCCCCCCGCTCCCCGCCCCCCCGCCCCCCCCCACTCCCCCCACCCTTCCCACCCCCGCCGACTGGCGCCCACCGCTGCCTTGCTGTCAGACTGGCGTGTTTTAAGGGCTCCAGTGCATGCCCCACTCCCGCCCACCCCTCCCGCTGCCTTGCATGCCCCACTCCCGCCCACCTCTCCCGCTGCCTTGCTGTTAGAATGTGTTTTTAAGGGCTCCAGTGCATGCCCGAGCCCTCCCTTCGCTGCCCCCGCCCCCCCCGCCCCCCCCCGCTCCCCTCGCCGACCTCCCCGCCCCCCCCGCCCCCCCGCCCCCCCCACTCCCCCCGCCCTTCCCACCCCACCGACCCCCTTGACTGGACTGGCGTGTCACTGGACTGGCGTGTTTTAAGGGCTCCAGTGCATGCCCCACTCCTGCCCACACCTCCCGCTGCCTTGCTGTTAGAATGGAGTGTTTTTAAGGGCTCCAGTGCATGCCCGAGCCCTCCCTTCTCTGCCCCCGCCCCCCCACCCCCCCCGCTCCCCCCACTCCCCCCGCCCTTCCCACCCCCGCCGACCCCCTCCGCTGGACTGGCGTGTTTTAAGGGCTCCAGTGCATGCCCCACCCCTCCCCCTGCCTTGCTGTTAAAATGGAGTGTTTTTACGGGCTCCAGTGCATGCCCGAGCCCTCCCTTCGCTGCCACCGCCCCCCCCGCCCTTCCCGCCCCCGCCCTTCCCACCCGCTGCCTTGCTGTCAGACTGGCGTGTTTTAAGGGCTCCAGTGCATGCCCCACTCCCGCCCACCCCTCCCGCTGCCTTGCATGCCCCACTCCCGCCCACCCCTCCCGCTGCCTGCCCCCGCTGCCCCCGCTTCCCCCGCCCGCCTTCCCATGCCTTCGAAGGTAAGTCACCTCTTACCCCCACCCCCAATTGGAAATGAAGTTTGAAGGGCTCCAGTGCATGCCCGACCGCTGCCCTTGTTGCCCCGCCCCCCCCCCCGCTGCCCGCCCGCTATTCTTAAGCTGGAAATGAAGTGTTTTCAGGGCTCCAGTGCATGCCCAAACCCCACCCGCTGCACCCGCTGCCCCCGCTTCCCCCGCCGGCTTTCCCATGCCTTCGAAGCTAACTCACCCCTTACCCCCACCCCTAACCTGGAGATGTAGTGTTTTAAGGGCTCCAGTGCATGCCCAAACCCCCCCCCCCCCCCACTGCCCTCCATGCTGCCCCCGCCACCCCTAACCTTGAACTGTAGTGTTTAAGGGCCTCCATTGCTGCTCCCGTGCAATGCCCCAAATTCCCCCCCTGCCCCCCGCTGCCCCCGCTGCCCCCGCCCGCTTTCCCCAGCCCTAACCTGGAAATGAAGCTCCAGTGCATGCCCAACCCCACCCCCCCCCCCCCCGCTGCCCCCGCCCGCTTTCCCATGCCTTCGAAGCTAACTCACCCAGCCCTAACCTGGAAATGAAGTGTTTTGAGGGCTCCAGTGCATACCCGAATGCTGCCCTTGCTGCCCCCGCCCACCCCGCCACCCCCATTTTACTGTTCTAGGCGCTCCCCCCACCCCTGACCTGGAAATGAAGTGTTTTAAGGGCTCCAGTGCATGCCCGATCGCTGCCCTTGCTGCCCCCGCTCCCCCCGCTGCCCCCGCCCCGCTGCCCCACCCCTTACCCGCCCGCACCTGTCTTAGGGGCTCTCCCCAACCCCTGGAAATGAAGTGTTTTAAAATCTCCAGGGGCTCTCCCCAACCCCTGGAAATGAAGTGTTTTAAAATCTCCAGTGCATGCCCATGGAAATGAAGTGTTTTAAGGGCTCCAAAACCCCCTCTCCCTCCCGCTGCCCCCGCTGCCCCCGCTTCCCCCGCCCGCCTTCCCATGCCTTCGAAGGTAAGTCACCTCTTACCCCCACCCCTAATTGGAATGAAGTTTGAAGGGCTCCAGTGCATGCCCGACCGCTGCCCTTGTTGCCCCCGCCCCCCCCCGCTGCCCGCCCGCCACCCCTAACCTGGAAATGAAGTGTTTTAAGGGCTCCAGTGCATGCCCAAACCCCACCCGCTGCACCCGCTGCCCCCGCTTCCCCCGCCGATGCCCGACCGCCGCCCTTGTTGCCCCCGATTGCCCCCGCCTCTCCACTGCCCCCGCCCGCTGCCCCATCCCTTACCCACCCACTGCCCCCGCCCTCTCGCACTGTTCTAGGGGCTCCCCCCACCCCTAACCTGGAAATGAAGTGTTTTAAGGGCTCCAGTGCATGCCCAAACCCCCCCGCTGCCCACGGTGTGTGTGTGTGTGTGTGTGCGTTTTGTTTTAAAGGTGCTCTTGTGTTGTCCTTGCAGACGCACTGCTCTTTGCCTCCTTCTGCGTTTGTGTTGCTTTTGATCCAGCATTTGCCTCTCTTTTTGAGGTGTTCCTCTTTTCTCCTATGCCTGGGCAGAAGGTAAAACTTCGTCCGCTACCTTGGTTTTATTTCCGTTTTCATTGTTCTTTGCGTTTCTCTGGGTTTTGATCAAGCATTTGCCTGTGTTTTTGAGGTGTTCTTCTTTTGTCCTGTGCCTGGGTGGAGATAGAGGTCCGTCACCTTGTTGCTTTTATTTCCGTTTGCATTGCTGTTTGCAAGCTTGTTCGTGTTTCTTGGCAGAGCATTTGCCTATGTTTTTGGGCTGTTCTCCTTTTGTTATGCCTGGGTAGGAGAGAAACTCCATGACCTATTTTGCTGGTATTTCTGATTTCATTGTTCTTTGCCTGCTTCTGCGTTTGTGTTGACATTTGTTCCAGCATTTGCCTCTCTTTTTGAGGTGTTCCTCTTTTCTCCTATGCCTGGGCAGGACATATGCCTGGGCAGGAGGTAAACCTCCGTCCGCTACTTTGGTTTTATGTCCGTTTTCATTGTTCTTTGCGTCCTTTGTCGTTTCTCTGGGTTTTGATCAAGCATTTGCCCGTGTTTTTGAGGTGTTCTTCTTTTGTCCTATGCCTGGGTGGGAGATAGAACTCCGTCACCTACATTGCTTTTATTTCCGTTTGCATTGCTGTTTGCATGCTTGTTCGTGTTTTTTGGCATAGCATTTGCCTATGTTTTTGGGCTGTTCTCCTTTTAATTTGTTCTGCCTGAGTAGGAGAGAAACTCCGTGACCTATTTTGCTTGTATTTCTTTCTGATTTCATTGCTCTTTGCCTCCTTCTGCGTTTGTGTTGCTTTTGATCCAGCATTTGCCTCTCTTTTTGAGGTGTTCCTCTTTTCTCCTATGCCTGGGCAGGAGGTAAAACTCCGTCCGCTACCTTGGTTTTATTTCCGTTTTCATTCTTTGCGTCCTTTGTCGTTTCTCTGGGTTTTGATCAAGCGTTTGCCTGTGTTTTTGAGGTGTTCTTCTTTTGTCCTATGCCTGGGCGGGAGATAGAACTCCGTCACCTACATTGCTTTTATTTCCGTTTGCATTGCTGTTTGCATGCTTGTTCGTGATTTTTGGCATAGCATTTGCCTGTGTTTTTGAGCTGTTCTCCTTGTCATTTGTTCTGCCTGAGTAGGAGAGAAACTCCGTGACCTATTTTGCTTGTATTTCTGATTTCATTGCTCTTTGCCTCCTTCTGCGTTTGTGTTGCTTTTGATCCAGCCTTTGCCTCTCTTTTTGAGGTGTTCCTCTTTTCTCCTATGCCTGGGCAGGAGGTAAAACTCCGTCCGCTACCTTGGTTTTATTTCCGTTTTCATTCTTTGCGTCCTTTGTCGTTTCTCTGGGTTTTGATCAAGCATTTGCCTGTGTTTTTGAGGTGTTCTTCTTTTGTCCTATGCCTGGGCGGGAGATAGAACTCCGTCACCTACATTGCTTTTATTTCCGTTTGCATTGCTGTTTGCATGCTTGTTCGTGATTTTTTGGCATAGCATTTGCCTGTGTTTTTGAGCTGTTCTCCTTGTCATTTGTTCTGCCTGAGTAGGAGAGAAACTCCGTGACCTATTTTGCTTGTATTTCTGATTTCATTGCTCTTTGCCTCCTTCTGCGTTTGTGTTGCTTTTGATCCAGCATTTGCCTCTCTTTTTGAGGTGTTCCTCTTTTCTCCTATGCCTGGGCAGGAGGTAAAACTCCGTCCGCTACCTTGGTTTTATTTCCGTTTTCATTCTTTGCGTCCTTTGTCGTTTCTCTGGGTTTTGATCAAGCATTTGCCTGTGTTTTTGAGGTGTTCTTCTTTTGTCCTATGCCTGGGTGGGAGAAAGAACTCCGTCACCTACGTTGCCTTTATTTCCGTTTGCATTGCTGTTTGCATGCTTGTTCGTGTTTTTTGGCATAGCATTTGCCTCTGTTTTTGAGCTGTTCTCCTTTTAATTTGTTCTGCCTGAGTAGGAGAGAAACTCCGTGACCTATTTTGCTTGTTTTTCTGATTTCATTGTTCTTTGCGTGCTTCTTCGTTTCTGTTGTCTTTGCTCCATCGTTTGCCTATGTTTTTGAGGTGTTCGTCATGTCGGGCGTGTGACCCCAACCAACCCGCTTCGTGAACCTCGCACGCCGTTTGAAGCCTCGCTTCCAAACGCTCTTCTGACCGACCCCTGGCTCGCAATCCAAACTTTGCCGTTGTGCTGCTCGCAAGGCTAAATGCCCTGGATTAGCCGAAGGATTTGAGCCATGGGGGGCCTTCTAAGGGAGCATAGGGCACCGGGATTCGGTGGAATTTGGAATCTGCCCACTTTGACGCTTAGAACAAAGCAAAAAAGGCCCGACTCAACAGGACGTATAGAACAACGCAAAACGCAAGTTTTAAAACTTCCTCCTCCGCCGGTCTTTGGGTCGGTCGCCCGCTTCTCCCACCCTCCGCCGGTCCTTGGGTCGGTCGCCCTGTTTTTGCAGGATCCGCGTTGGTTCTCGGGGTGCCGGTTGCCCCGGGGGGTCCTTGGGTCCCCCTCCCGTGGGCCTTTATGCAAGCACATGGGGACAGATTCTAAATTCATCTAGGTTTTTCTAGTTGGGGGGGCTGCCCTGCTTGGTCCCTTCCTGGGACCCTGCAGGGGCCCCACAAAACTGATACGGAGTTACAGGTAAACTTAACAAATTTGTATTTTTCTTTCCTCGCTCACTTGCCCGCAGCCGCCTCAAGGGTCAGGAATCCTATCAGAGTGCCCAGCCTAGGTATGCACAGTAGGACACTCTGAGGCTGTACAGTCTGTACATGAACGAAGCCATGCCGCCAAACACCCACACCACCCGAACCCCACATCACCCCAACCACCCACATGACCCGAACCACCAAGACCGCCCCAAGCCACCCGCCCCCTGAGCCACCCACGCTGACGAGCCGCCATCCGCACCGCCCGCCACCAGTGTGAAGGCCCCCCCCTCTCCCAAAAGGCTGCGAACTAGCCCTAAACCCTAAACCCTCATAGCGTCATCCCTGCAAAGGGCGCCCAAATCCTCCAACTACCCCAAGCTGCCCAAGCCGAAGCCACCCAAGAAACTCCCTAAGCCCTGAGGCACCCTAAAATGGCGGGGGGTGGGGTCGGCGGCACTGGCGGTAGCCATTAAATATATATACATACAAAAAATACATAATATGTGCATCCATATTTGGCACCAATCCCCTCACAGCTCCCGAGAACCCTCCAAGAAGGCCATGGAGCCCAACAAGAGCACCTGAAACTTGCTTGCGCTGTGTCAATGAACCCTGTTGGTAGATTCCTAACACCCCCTGAGCCCCAAAAGACCCTCAGAGGTGGAGCTCGCATGCGAAAGCTGCACAGTATTTCGGGGCCCCCACACAAGGGCAGTTCCAGTATCCATCCTTCACCTCCCAATCATCAGGAGGATCCCAAGAATTGCCCGGCCGCTTTGAGGCTGAAGGTTCAAGCTTGCAAGAGGCTTTTGGGGGGCTCCTGGGATCCCAGAAGCCCTATGTTCTTTCGTTTTTGTTGATTCCGACAAGGGGGGGGGCACTGCCATGAGCCTCGTGCGCCTCATGCTTTCAACAGGCCTTGGCAAATGCAAGCAAGTCTTCTCAGAAGAACGGAGGGCGGCAACATTTCAGCCGAACGAGGCAAAGGAACAAACAGCAGCAAAACGCATGAGCTATCAAATGCAAAATTCGCAAAACAGCACGAGTCCACAACTCACAACCTTTTAGCCACCTCACACTTCGAGCAAAGGAACGCAAACAAAAAAACGAAACCCGAAGCGTTAAGAACCAAGCACAAGCCAAAGCAATAAACCGGCTGCAACGGCCAAAACAGACAAGAAGCTTCCATTGTATGTCTTGGTATCCCCAAGCGGGGAATCTGGCCTCCTTCTCCTTGTCCTCATAGTGTCGGCACGGACAAAGTGGCGCGCCCAGAGTCTCCTCCACAACACGTCGGGGAAGGAATCCGAGGCCCCAAAGTGCACTTCTATGTACACTTTGACATAGGCAGCCCATACATCACGATGGTTCTGTTTGCCCTAAGGCGCAATCCGCCCTGAGAGGCCGAAAATAGGCTTAGGGTCGGAGGAGACTGCCTCAGCAACTTGCAACCTGCCATCGAAGCAACAACGTTTAGGGCTTTAGGGCTTCTAGGGTTTGGGGCTTAGCCAAAAGATGGCCCTGGCTCCTTGTGCAACGCCAGGCCGACAATCACCACGGCTGGAACGCTCTTGTCTTCACAGTACTTCGTTCCCGTGACCTGCCAGGGCACTCCCTTCAGGCTGATGGTGTACTTCGCCGTGTCTTTGGGCCTCCATCTTAATGCAGTCTGTCACAATCTTCTGCCTCGACCCCGCGGCCCTGCAAATCATCGAAACGGTCTCCCTTCCCTGCGCTCGAAGGAGCGACGAGAGCCCGCATGGGTGATTCGGCAGTCGGCGACCCGGCCTTGGCATACTGGTTGGAGAACTTCATCATCGTCTCGATGGTTTTCCTGAGAATCGAAGGTGAAGGGTCGGTGGGTTTGCGGTCAATAGAGCTAAGGACCAGCCATGATATGAGGAAGGCGCAAGGGAACTTTGTCCCAGCTACATCCGGGTGGCAGAAGCATACGCGCCATTGCAGAGCAAACCCTACACCCTACACCCTAAAATCTAAACCCTAAGCCCCAAACCCAAGACCCTAAACCCAGTGACTCGCCCTGCATAAACACCCCTGGGAATTGAGCATCCCCAGTCTCGGACTGTCTGATGGACTGAGGGGATGATTCGGCCTCAAAATGGAGGTTCCGACAGGTGTATACCTTCAAACATGGGAGGGTTCAACCAAATGCCGTTTCAAAAGCCTCACTTCCGCACAAATATGCTTCGCGAGGCGCTCAGAGGGCTCCAGGTGTTTCTCCTCCGAAGCCGGCGCTCTGAGTTAGAATTAAGTCTTATACGATGATATGAATATAGTGTTGTAGTACCGTGTTCATAGAGGTTTTCGGACACCAAGGGCCTTGATCTGTTGCAGTTCAACTAGACTTCCCCAAAACAGAGCTTGTTGTCCTTATCACCACTGTTGTGATGACCATTCTTGGACATACATCTACTATAGCAATCCCTGTTGTTTGAGATTGCATGGATCGTTCAGAGGCAGATGGTTGACAAAGCTGGGTCTTATCTCAAGTAAGCCTCTCTCCTTCGCCATGGTTGACACCGAACCCACGATGACCCACACCGGAACCATCAGGTAACCGTGACCCATGGGAGGCGAAACGGCGTTCGAGGCCTTGGGGCCCCAAGCCGGTGGGGTTTGGGCTTAAGGTTTAGGGTACAGGAATCAATCCCTAAACCCTAACCCGAAACCCTAAACCCTAAACCCTAAACCCTAAACCCTAACTTATCAGATCCTATCAGCATCTCTTGGATCCCAAGGCCTTTTGCCCCTCCCCCTCCCTGAGGTCTCAACCTCCGCGCGCCGCTGAAGAAGGTTCCCGCGCGTCACCCTCCTATGGGAGTTTAGGGTTTAGGGCTAGGGTTTAGGGTTCAGGGTCTAGGATTTATGGTTTAGGATCAAAGGCAAAGAGTTTCGGGCTGAGTGCAGCGCTCACCGGGCTTACGGCTCCAAAACTACGGGATACAGTATCTCTAGTTGATGCTGGTTTGCCCACGAAAACTATCTAGGCCCCTTCAAAGCGTGGTCACAAGCTCGCAAGGACTTCTTTCAGACCCGATAGCACCCTAAACCTTAGGGTTTAGGGTTTAGGGTTTAGGGTTTAGGGTTTAGGGTTTAGGGTTTAGGGTTTAGGGTTTAGGGTTTAGGGTTTAGGGTTTAGGGTTTAGGGTTTAGGGTTTAGGGTTTAGGGTTTAGGGTTGAACTCCACATCCTCCTTCTTGCTTGAGCACTTGTAGTTCCTTCTTCAACGCAACGGACCCCCAAACGGAACCCACTCCAAACCATGAACCCTAAACCCGAAACCCTAAACCCTAAGCCCTCTAAACCCTAAGCCCCTGACCCTTCCGGACCTGCCCAACGCCAGGCAGCCCACCAAGGCAGCCACAGCCGCCGACCCTCCCAGTGCCCCGGTTTCGGGGAGAGCCGGGCCTGTCCGCGTTGTGGGGGTTTGTGGGGCTTTGGAGAATTTTGGTGGGGTTTTGTGGGGACTGCAGCTGTCGGCGTTGAGGGCCTCGGGTTTACGACTTGGGGTGCAGGGTTGAAAACCAACCCGCAACCCTGAAGGCGCCTAGAGACCCATTCTCACAGAGCCCTGGCAACTACAACTCACAAGACCCAACTACCATTTGCCTACAAGTCGCAGTCAGGGCAGTGGATCTCAAGTCGGGGGTCTCCTCGGGAAACTTGAGCCCTTCAAGAGACCAAGGGCCACCATACCCCCTGCCCCTGAGCATACCCATGGGTTTAGGGTGTAGGGCTTAGTTGTTAGGGTTCCCCCCCCCCCCCCCCTAAACCCAAGAGGCCTGTGATATCGGGACTTGTCATATTCTGGACTCCGAAGCCACTTAAGCACTCAAACCTTTTAAACCATTCTAACCCTTAAACCTTCCAAACCCTTGAGCCCTTAAGCCCTTAAGCCCTTAAAGCCTTAAGCCTTCTAATTCTAACCCTTAAACCCTTAAACCTTTTGACCCTTAAACCCTTTAAACCCAACAAGCCTCAAAACCCGTAAGGCCCTTAAACCGTTTAACCCTTAAACCCTTAAGCCTTCTGAACAATTTAGACCCATAAACTTTCAAACTCTCAAACCGCATAAGCCCTGTAAACCCTATAAACCCTGTAAACCTTAAAACCTTGAAGGCCTTTGAACCCTGAAGCCACCTTAATTAAGCCTTTAACCCCTTAAACCCTCAAGCCCTCTTTCAAACTCTGAAGCCCTTAAGCCCTTAAAACCGCTAAAGCGTTTGAAGCCGTTTTCAAACCCTGAAGCCTTAATTGAACCTCTCAACCCTAACCTCTCAACCCTAACCCTAAACCCTAAACCCTAAACCCTAAACCCTAAACCCTAAACCCTAAAAAGCCCTTGAAGGTCTTTCAAACCCTGAAGCCACGCTGTTGCGGAGGCCTGAGGTGGCCCGCGCATGGCGCGGGTCCGTACCTGGGCTCAGGAGGCAGGACGATCAGATGATTCGGGTTTGGGGTTTAGGGTTGAGGGTTTCGGGTTTAGGGTTGAGGGTTTCGGGTTTAGGGTTTAGGGTTTAGGGCTCAAGTGTTCGTGAGCACAGGGCAGGTCTTGGGGGGTTGGAGCTGGATGAAGATTCTACAGTCAAGGTGTAGACCGACTCCTTACTTTGATTGTTGCGAAACGTTTGGTTCTATATGGGTAGGAACCCTAACTTGGAAAACTATCCTTATGACGATCGATGATATAATTTTCGTGAATCAATGTTACTATTGAGTAGTGATGCCTGGATTGATCGTCTACCAGGCTCGAACCAACAAGGGGAGGCCTCGTGTAGACGGCAGAGAGCTCAGAAATGCAAGCGGCCTGGCCAGATCAGGTGGGCCAAACATCTGGTCAGTTCTCTACGTACTACGTGGGTTGCGGTTTCTTTGTTCTAAATCCGCTTTAGGAAATCAGTTGGACCCCGGTGATGTTAGGCCCCAGCGTATTTGCGGTGCCTCCCATAGAGAATTTGTCTTTGTTTTTGGCAGCATGGATGACAGGATGTTGCGTCATGGGATGTAGGTGGATGTGCGGCTCGCCGTGCTTGAACGAGATCGTTCCTCATCCTTTGCTGACTCTCTCGCTCTTGCTTTCTACACATCATCAAGCAAGAGACCTAATGAGACCTGCAAGAACTACCAGCATGTAAAAGTTTGGATCGCCACGACGATGTAGGAAGTATGTAGCAATGTGCACAGGGCCGGCACATGTGCGTTCACCTTCGAAAACGCCCTGTAACTCGCACACGCGTGGGGCAGTCCAAGGAGATGCCAAAATACAAACACCAAACCCTGCACCCTAAACCCTGCACCTTAGAAACCCTACAAACCCTACAAACCCTACAAACACTAAACCCGAAAAGTCTCGCCTTCCGGCGCAGAGCCCGGGCACCAAGGCCACAGTGGCCAACAGCCCCAGGCCGAAACAAAGCTTTGAGTGGCCTGGAAGAGGATTTTTTGGAGTTTGGATGTTAAGGTTTTAGGGCATTGGGGTTGTATGTTGCTTTATTATTTGTATGTATTGATTGGTTGTTTTTTTTTGGGGGGAAAGGGGGGGTGGGCTTTAGGGCTTTAGATTTTTTAGGGCTTAAGCTTCTCCATGTTGCTTTCGGGGGGATTTTTGGGCTTCAGGGTTTTTCTATTTGTAGGGTTTTGGGCTTTGCGGTTTTGGGGTTGAGATTTTGCGTTGCTTCCAAGATCTTCGTCAGATCTTCTTTGGGAGAATTTAAAGGTGCGGCTATGGGTTTCTTGTGGTTTTGGGGGAAGGGGTATGAGGGTTGTAGGAGATGCAGGGTTGAGGGTCTCCACTTGTAGGGTGTAGGGAAGAGGATTGCGATGTTCGAGCTTGTTACTTGAAAGGGCCTGGGTGCTTTGCTTGCAGCTTGTTGGGGAGGGTTTAAGGTTTACGGCTTAGGTGCGTTGAGGGCATCGGGGTTCTTGGGGGATCTTAAGATCCCCCGAATAAGAATCTCGGAGGTTGCAAAGCAAGCCGGGCCTATGCTTGCGACCCTCCACCTTTGAGGCTAAATGCTTGATTCTGGGCTTCTCCCTCTTCACACTCTTGGGCCGATGCCTAGGGTGCGATTGATGTTGGGTGATTCAGGCCGTGGCCTGCGAAGCTTAGCAAGAACGTTGAGGGCTTGCCCCGGAGGTGCCCCTGACTACTACTTGTTTATTAACCCCAAACAAATTTATTTCATTTTCTTCCTGATAAGAGTAATATCGGCACCAGACTACTACTTGTTTAAGAACCCCCAATTTGTTTTAAACAAATCTTCCTTATAAGGGTAATACAAGGACTGCACTCTCTTTTTATAATTTTTGGGAGGGGGTTCTTAAGCAAATTAGCAGCTGAGGATCAGACCCTAAACCCTAAACCCTGAACCCTAAACCCTAAACCCTAAACCCCAATAACCCTAAACCCTAAACCCTAAAGGATTCAGCTCCCGGGATGAAGCAAATGGCAATGCTACGAGGAGCTCGACATGCCACACGTTCCAGGCCTGCAGCCCCGATGCGGGCCGGCATGCCTTGAAGGGAGGTTTAGGGTTTAGGGTTAGGGTTTAGGGTTTAGGGTTTAGGGTTTAGGGTTTAGGGTTTCGGGTTTAGGGCTTCAATCGCAACACTGTACTCTTTGCTTGATTACTGCAGTTGGTGTGCAGAGTCTGTGCGACACAACCTTTGAGCAGCAGGACGCTCAATCTCATGAAGCACTTGTCACAACCAAAGCTTCCCAAATGTTTGCCAAACGTCTGCCAATCCATACGAACAGTTTTCACATTGTAGACTGGAGACGATTTGAACTGTTTGCTAATTATTTCCACACCCTGCAAGACATCTGCTCCGCAAGACGCAAATGCAACAACCACATTGTGCAACATGTTTTCGGCGCGCTTCCTCTTGCACAGGGGTATCTGTGCACAAGTATAGACTGCTGTTATCCTGGGCAATCTGCAGGGGCGCTCTGAAGTGCTGAAGATTGATCACCAAGGTTTGCTCCGGAGCACTCAGAACGGAAAACCAGAGAGAAAACTTTTGAGGGGCAGCTCAGGAGCCTCAGCTGCCGAAAGTTTGAGGCACGCGCTCGGCACCACGGGGACCCAGGCGTCCTTCCTCCTTCTTGTCGTACTGCTCATAGGTCTGACCCATGGCCAGGCCCGCGGAATTCTGCTCTTCACCCGGCAGGAGCTGTTGCATCACCCCATAGGTGGCAGCCTGGGCAGCGTCTTCACCTCGAAACCATTTGGAGACCCGCGACCAGGCCGCTGCCATTGGGCCGGCAGCATCTGGTCGCAGCCGTTCCAACACCTGATCATAGCCCAAAGGCTTGGGGTACCCGGGCACCGTGAGAAGCTCAAAGGTCTTGCCCGTGGATGAGGGTTCATCCAAGAGTCGGACCAAGAAGGTGGCCAAGTCCTGGCGGGAAGTGCGCCCAACTGCCACATCTCCTTGCGACAGCACCGGTCGCCCTGTGGGCCAGTCATCCTTGAGACCTGTGGGACGTGCCACTGTGTAGCTGGCGCCACTCTTGCGCAGCAACTTTTCGGTTGCGCGTTTCTCGTCCAGCAAACCACCCGGGTTCAAGCGAACAATTGGGATGTCGGCAGCTCCGGACAATCGCGATTTCTGTTTCTCACTCCACGTCGGCCGTGTCACCGCCGCAGAGGAACACATCACCACACGAGGTGAGCCACTTGAACGAGATGTCCGAGATGCAAAGGCCTTGCCCATGGCCACCAGCCCCTGGCGACCCTCTGCACACCAAATGGCAACATCTGCATCCGAAAAGGCCGATGTTGCTGCCGCCTCGTCTTCCGGCTTCCAAGGCACGACTTTGATGCGCTCGTCCGCTGGGAGGAACTCTTCAGCTCTCGACACGTTGCGAGTAAGCGCCAAGATTTCCACCTTGGGATCCTTCAACAACTCCTCCACAACGAAGCGGCCCAGGCGTCCTGTGGCCCCTGGGACGGCCACTGTGTTGTACTCGGCCCTTCGAAGAACTCGGCTCTGCCGCCCTGGTGCAGATAAGGTGCCGGTGAAGCCTTGGGATGCCAACCACAAGGAGCTCCAAAGCAAGATGCAAGGGAGCAGCAGGGCACGGTGCACAGGTGCCGCTGCCATTGCTCAAACGTCTCAGAACAGGATATAGGTTTGCTGTCGCAAGAAGGATGGTGCTTTTGCATCCATGTGTGTTTTGCCGGTTTCTGCAAGCGAGGCTGTCCCTTCTTCCTCTGTTCGGCATCTTCGATCTCACCGAAGACCCCTGGAAAGCCTAAGGAACCCACGTGGAACTTCTGCACTTCAAACGCTCGAGCTGCTGTAATGCAGCCGGTACTTGAGCAGGAAACCAGCACGCGAAGGCAGTCGCACACATGTACAACCTCACGAGCCAGCGAGCCAACAGCTACTCTAGCAGATATTAAGCCTTCAACCAGATAAGACTGCCAAGACTCATGACCCTGAACATCAACATCCGACACCCCCCCCCCCACCCCTCAACAAACAAAAAAACTCCATCATCGGCGGGGGGCCTGCTGCAAAGGGCAAGTCGCGCAACGGCACGGCAGCTGCTTTAAAGTTGGAGGCCGCGGCCACCCCCAAAGAATCTAAACCCGAGGATGAGAATCACAGATGTAGTGATGAAGCTGCTTCTGAGTGTGTCAAGATTCTGTCGAAACCGATTTGGCAGTGAGAGCATGAGATGCTCCAGCCGGCCCAGCTGTTGTAGCACGACGTGCGGTTGCAAAGCAACACTGCGTGGGAGCTTACTGTTGTGCGCTTCCTGTCAGCATGAGCCAAAAGAGTTGCAGCAGCCAGGGATGACGCCACACCCAAGCATGCGTGCAGAAGTCCGACCCCCAAAGCTCCTAGACCCGCATGCAGCCACAGGGCCCTCGGAAAACACCAAAAAACACGAACGCCCCAACTCCATACCAACAGATGCCCAAGCCCTCCCAGACCCTGAAGCCTGTAGGCCCCCAGCAAAGGGCCTTCACCCGTGTGGCCTCGTGCACCTTCAAGGCACCTTCCCTCTCCTGGCCTCCAGGAAGCAGAAGTTGGAGTGGCCGTGGCCGATCCTTGGGTCGGTGTGGGGAGTTGGGCTGAACTCTTTTTGGATGCTTGGCACCCTAAGTCCTAAGCCTAAGCCCTATAGGCCCTAAACCCTAAGCCCTAAACCCCAAACCCCAAACCCTTGACCTCAAACCCCAAACCCTAAACCACTTATAAGTAGTCGGAATATGCGACACAAAGAAAAACACAAGGGCCCGTCACTTCGATCAACCTCCCCCGAAGATGTGGCTTCGGGAAGGAAGTCTCTCGTGGTGGTCTGTTTGAGGGCTTTAGGCATTCGGGGGTTCCGGGAGTTTAGGGTTCAGGGAGTTGAGGGTTCAGGGTTGAGGAAAGAACGAACTTAGCAAACCCCAAGCGGCCCTAGACGGTATCACAGGTAGGTAGGGAACGAAGCAAGAGCTTTCTTACAAAATGATCCCAGTCCTTCATCCCTTCACTCACAAACCAACAGGAAGTAGAGGGGAAAATTGTCATGGGTTCGCTACTACCTACCCTCTTCTATACTACCCCATAAATAAGGCCATTTAGGGCTAACTCAGCCAAATTTTTGGGGGGAACCTGATTAGGGGGGCTTGTAGGGAAACCCATGAAATTAGGAGCGGACCGGCTGGTGAAGACGTCCTCGTCGATCGAGGCGTGGCTGCCCACTTCCAGCCGGTACCTGGGGGTCAAACCCCACGCGTATTGCAAGCATCGTAGTCTGCGCCCTTCAACTACCCTAAAGCCTAAACCCTAAACCCTAAACCCCTAAACCCCTAAACCCTAAACCCTAAACCATAAACCCTAAACTCTAAACCAAAGGCTTGAAGCTCGAGGTTTCGGGCTCATGGGGAACCCGGCGGGGGTGCCTCCCGGGGTGCCATCTCGGGCTTTTGGGCTTCAAGGCCCTCCGCGCAACTGAAGTTGGCCGAAGGTTTAGGCTACAGGGTTTAAGGTTTAGGGTTTAGGGTTTAGGGTTTAGGGTTTAGGGTTTAGGGTTCAAGCTCTGAGGCGGCGCACTTCAGCTTCAGGTGCCCCGGGCACCACAGGAAAAGGGAGCAGAAGCCCTTCTGTGAAGATTCCCGGCCTGAGGACGTTGGTGCGCTTTAGGGGGTGCCTATGAGAGGCTGAGACAGCCAGGCCGTGTGAAGACTATAGACCACAACATGCGGAACCTGACTGGTACGAGTACGAGGCGAAAGTAATTCCAGCGTAGGCCAACAATCTGGCAACCTAAAGTAGTACAGGTAGCCACGATAACCTAGCATGGTAGTAGACACGGCGAACGCAGAAATGATGAAACTGTCGACGTGTCGGAGCTCCATTCTTTGCACTGGAACATGCTTGGACCGTCTGAGAGAAGGATTGCCACAAGCGCCCAGAAAGTTCTCACGCCAGCCCGGGTTGAACCAGATCTACTTGCCCACACCATTGATGCACCACCGGACTATGCTAGCCGGGATCCTGAGGAGATCCCCAAACGTCTCCGGCTCCCCCCCCCCTTCCCGAGCGCGGCCTTGAGGGAAGAACTCCAGTTGCATGTCTGGCACCCCCATGGCGGAGAAGGCGCTGGACCTCCGGAGCATGCGGATGGCCACTCTGCCTCCGGAAAAGTGTAGATCCGCCCATCCCCAATGCAACAATGCAACTACAACTCTCAGAGCAGCAGAAATAGTTGTAGGAGTTGGGATGGGATGCCGCCAGGCCCAAAAAGCGTCACTGAGACGCCAGCCAGATGCACTGGTTGTTGGGCATCTTCCTGCCCAGCTACAGGTTTAGGGCCTGACCTTAGGGACTATAGGGCTTCCTGAATATAAAGCCCTCAATTGCCATTGGTATGGGCTGCAGTATCGAGTTCCCTTGTTGGGTTTAGGGCTTAGGAATCTTGACGGGCTGGTAAGTGTCTGGTGTTTTCTGGGGGCACGGCATGGCAAACTCCTACGTCTGGCTTACAGAAGTCACACTAGGGTGTGAGGGCATATGTCATCCGTGATGCATGTCAACGCATGGTGCAACGTTCTTCCCTCCCCACATGGCCAGCACTCTCAGTACTTACTAAGGCATGCGGCGGCACAGATATCCAAGCGCGCAACGCACATCCCAAACCCATTCGTGCACCGACTCAATCTCTATCGGGGCTCGCTATCCCGACGCCTCTTGAAACGGCTCACCCCTCCTCCCCACCCACGGCGGGCGGCCTGATGGTCTCACTGCAATTCTTCAGCTTCCATTCCACCCTCCTTCAGGCTTAGGGGCTCAAGGGCGTTTGTTGGGTTCTGTGGGGTGCCAATCGCGGAAGCTATGCTGCAACACTTTGCTTCCCCCCGCGACACTAATGCAACCCAGGTCTGCGCCATACGGCCTCGATAGACATAGGAACCTGACAGTGGAACCTACCGATTTTTGAGACATCCACCCCAAGCCGGCGATAGCTAAACCCTCAACCCTGATGATACCCTAAACCTTGTAAACCTTACAAACCCTCAAGTCTCAAACCTGAAACACCTTGGGCTAGACTCAAGCGCCTCACGAAGGCCGTGTCGATGCCTGCAGCACAGGAGCACAGGATTTGCTTCCGAGAGCCCGTAGAGTCGAGATGCGGCCCCTTGCCCCTCCAAATTCAGCACTCAAGGTTTTATGGGAGTTCAGGGTTCAGGGAGCTTAGGATTCAGGGTTCTGGGAGTTTAGAGCTCAGGGAGTTTAGGGTTCAGGGTTCTGGGAGTTTAGGGTTCAGGGTTCAGGGAGTGGATGGCTGAAGGCGAGCCTCTTAAGCAGGTTGATCTGCGCCATGTAGACAAACAACGAATCTTTGCACCCACATGTGGACGTAGCATGCGGCCCCCTAAACCCTAAACCCTAAACCCTAAACCCAAAACCTCTCTTTCATACATAATTTAAATGTTGGGGGAGTTCCACAGCAAAGTCATTTTTTTACTGGGCAAGAACATCTTTTTTGTTGGGCAAGGTCATATTTTTACTGGGCAAGGGCATTTTTTACTGGCAAGGTCGTTCGGTCCAAAAACGACCTTGCCCAGTAAAAAATGACCTTGCCCAGTAAAAAAACTGACCTTGCCCAGTAAAAAGATGACCTTGCCCAGTACCTCTTTTACTGGGCAAGGTACTTTTATACTGGGCAAGGTCATTTTTTTTAACTGGGCAAGGTCATTTTTTTACTGGGCAAGGTCAACTCTTTACTGGGCAAGGTCAACTTTTTACTGGGCCAGGTCACTTTTTTTGCTGGGCAGGGTCATTTGTTTACTGGGCAAGGTTGTTTTTTCCCGAAAGCTTCAGCGAAGGGTTCTTCGGAGAAAAAAAACGTTAGCCCTACCACACTACCACACACTCACACTACCATCACCACACTACAATCACCACACTACCATCACCACACTCCAATCACCACTACCATCACCACACTCCAATCACCACACTCCACACTACCATCACATCACCTCCTCTATTAAATTCTCTCTTATTTCTTAGGCTGGGGTGGGTTTCGCCGCGGCTAGCGCGATGCACCCCTCTGCGGGGATCGTGCGTGTCGGGGCGCTCCCGCTGTGCGTTTTTGCGCATGTGGATTTGTCGCCGCGCACCCTCTGCGGGGATCGTGCGTGTCGGAGCGCTCCCGCTGTGCGTTTTTGCGCATGTGGATTTGTCGCCGCGCACCCTCTGCGGGGGTGCGTGTCGGAGCGCTCCCGCTGTGCGTTTTTGCGCATGTGGATTTGTCGCCGCGCACCCTCTGCGGGGATCGTGCGTGTCGGAGCGCTCCCGCTGTGCGTTTTTGCGCATTGTACAACTTGCTTCGCACACCCTCTGCGGGGATCGTGCGTGTCGGAGCGCTCCCGCTGTGCGTTTTTGCGTATTTTCAAGCGTGGTCGTGCACCCTCTGCGGGGATCGTGCGTGTCGGACCCTTCCTCACCTCTTCCTCTGCTCTTCTTTTCCTCTTCCTCTCCTCTTCCTCTCCTCTTCTTTTCCTCTTCCTCTCTTCTTCCTCTCCTCTTCCTCTCCTCTTCCTCTCCTCTTCCTCTCCTCTTCCTCTCCTCTTCCTCTCCTCTTCCTCTGCTCTTCT